TATGTATGTATATAATATATAAAATTAACAGGTATAAAATTAACAGGTGCTACATAAACAGATGCAAACAGTAAACAGTGCAAGATGGATGTGCAAAATAGTAGTAGACATTGTCCATTGTCAATTGTTCTAATTGTCCTCCCTGCCTTTGAGTGCTGTTGTACAGTCTGGATGGGCCAGGGGGACGAAAAGAGTTTTATGGGTACTGTGGTGGAGCTGGACTGGGGAAAGCAGTCGCCGCTGAACACCACTCCTCTGCTGGTGAAGGTGTTGGGTGCAGAGGGGGGTGGTGGGCGATTGGTCCAGTATGGACGCTTGTTCCAGGACCTTCTCTGCCATGTACACCAGAGAGGTCAGTCTGTGCCCTATTTCAACTGAGCCGCTCTCTGCCCAGTCTGCCAATAGATCCTCTTAAATGTTACACACTGGGCAAAAGTTAAATACTTTATATCTTATCTTTTATCTATTTATCTATAATATAATATTAATATGTATGCTTTCATTAGTGTATAATCACCTGAAAATAACAATCACTTGGGTTTTTGTCTCCTTAGTATGAGACGTCACTTTCCATCAAGGCCTCCATGCTGAACCGCCATGTTTTCTACAGTAAATTCAATTCAAAACTGTTCTAAAACATAACTGGGAACTAAACACTGTGTGTGGTGTGTGTGGTGTGTGTGTGTGTGTGTGGGTGTGTTTGTGTGTGTGTGTGTGTGTTGTGTGTGTGTGGTGTCTTTGTGTGTGTGTGCGTCTCTCCACGTCCTTGCGAACACAGTTTTGTGAGTAACGAGGCTATCGCCATGGTAGCCTATTGTTCACATAAAGGACAAGGAGAGAGAGACAAAGAAAGAGAGAGAGGGGGGTAGGTGGAAAATGTTAAAAGCAGCGAGTCAAAACAATAATAGAAGAGCAAAAAACAAAAAGAGTATTTGTGGAATCCACAGATTTAAGCTCTAAGCTCCCGGGTTAGGCATATGTGTGTTACTGAAATAGTGTATTACAGAAAGCTTTAAAAGCTCTAATAATCTGTCGCATTGTTTCCTGCTGCTTAAAACCAGATCTCTCCTTAAGTCCCTCATCCTCCTCATGTGACTGACTTACAGGTCTGGGGACATAAAAATCATTCAGGAATCGAGCTTTCTGCTTATTTTGGAGCCCCAAATTAACAAAGAGTCTTCTAAACGAAAAGACAAATCTTCAATTTTACAAGTTTAAGTCTAAGTGAACAACACTGACGTAATGTTCTGGGTTCGTTCCAAAGAACAAGACCATAAATACTCAGCAGCATGCCAACTCACACACACCTGGACAGGTAATGCCAAATGCAATCAATCATATCCCCCAAGGCCTAAAAGAATTGACTGGTCTTGTTAAACACCATCGTGCCAATTTTAAGTACTAGTATCATCATAAATGAATGGCTCAGTTTCCATTAAATTAAAATCCTTTCTTAAGCGTACTCTACTTGTTGTCTTTTGCTTTTACAGAGCCAGACTTGAACCTTGCACTCTCTTTCATGGGTGGCCCAGGTGAGAACTGAACCGGTTGCCCTTATCTACTGACCTACAGCTACTGCAGCACCAGTCAGGGCACTCAGTCTTCGTATGTTAATCCTTAAAAAAGGCTCACAGGAGAGGTTTGCCGTGACTCCCCCCGCCCTCTAGGCAAAATTAAACACTACAGTCACCTCCTCTTTCATTCAGAGATTTATCTGTCCACACATCCATTCACAAAAGGTCCCTGTTTAATTCAGCCCGGATCTGCGTCAGATACACAGTGCTCGAGCCTCTCAGCCAGCCACTATCGCTGCCGATACCTGCTGATTTGTTGACCCGTTGCTATGGAGACACACCAATACAGAGGCAACAAGGAAACTAATGGAGAAGTGGGGGCTGGGAGGGTTTTAAGTTTGTATAAAGGAGACACAAAGAATGTGTACAAGGAGAAACGGAAAGTGAAGGAGAGAGATTAAGTACGTGTGTAAAGGTGAATCGGGTTGGAACCAAATGCCTTTCTTATCAGCGTGGCACACCCTCTCTGGTACAGGAAGTAACATAATGAGCCAACAGCAGCCTATTGAAATACCTGCTCGGTGAATTAGAGTTGTACAATTACCAGTATCTGAAATTCCTCGAATACTGCCTAAAAATACAGTATCGGGTATCAGCGAGTACGTGTGTCTGTGCCTGATCCGCTACCACGTAAGTTAGCACACCGAAACGGGGCCGTGCGATTTCCTCGCAGTGTCCCGCTTGTCCCGGTTACCAAATTCATGTCCCGCCCTACTCTGACTGACGGGTTTGATCTTAGGGAGGCCACTCGACAAAGTTAATCATGATAATCATACAGGCTTAGTAGTACACACTTGTTTTTGTTTTTTTAAAACACACTTGTATCAGATCAGTACTCGCAGTGGTGAAGGAAGGAGTTTCAAAGTGGGGGGGACATTCAGCTTTGGAGGATGTACGGTAGTGAACTCAATCTCAGCCGAGCCTACACTTTCATGAGGCTGTG